TTAATAATTTTTTTCATAAATATATTATGTAATATATTAAATTGAAAATTATGCGAATTAGTATCATTTTTTTTTTTGCTAAATGCTCCTTTCCATTTTTGTACATGCGTTTTTGGTTTTTATAACATATGCCATAAGTGTAAAACGTAAAAATGTATTTATAAGAAAAATTACAAAAGTATATTTTTATTTCTAACAACAATATCAATTGAAATAATTTAATTAGATAATTAATAAAATTAAAATTTATTTTTATATTTTTATGTACTTAATAATAAAAAATATAATAAATACACTCTTATTTAGTTACATAAATATGTCGTATTGGACTGAAAACGAAAAATGAAAAATCGATTTGTCAAAAACCAGTGAATTCAAACGATAACGAAAACAACAGAATCGTCCATGTTAAATTTCGGTTCCACAATTCGGTTTTTTGTCTCCCAATTTATAGGTGTTAGTTTTTTTCGTTCCCCAATTTTCTCATTTTGCTGCCAAAATTTTGCTTCAACACTAATTTCAGTTCCCCCTACTCCTGGCAGACAAGAAGGAAAATTGGGTAGTTTTCGAGATACCATTTTATGGGCATAGCAATTATCTTCTTTTGCTGATAAAATAAAAAAAATTGTCTTCTTTTACAATTTAAGGTATGTTATAAATTAGCAATTAGATTTCATATCACAAGAAACATTGTTTATGTTAACGTCTAAATGGGACATTCAGTAGCGTGATTTTTCTTTTATACTGCATCATTCTCTAATAAGTTTTTTGCTTCATCCATTTTCTAAGTGGATACCCTGTTTTTCCAACTGCTTCATGGCTGAATGGAATTGAATGATGTGTATAAAATCAAAATTTTCTTTTTCATACTGTTGATGATGTTGTCATAATAATTAATGAGTATTTTGTTTTCAAACAATAGTTATGATATCTTGGAAAAAAGGGAAAAAAAAAAAAAAAGAAGAGTGGGGATATAGGCTTAGCAAGTTTAAAGGGTATGCATATCAGAGACTCGTAGGATAAAATTAGTCAATTCCTTTTCTGTTTTGTAGAACTTTGGATGTTGTATGTTGACAACGTACTGTATAGATAGTCCTAGCTTCTACTCAATTTTCTTCTCTTCATGCCTAACTACTGGAAGCTTTTGTTTGTAATCAATGTCATCCTCCAGATATATGTCATGATTATCCCGTGGTTTTAGGGCAGTTTGTGTGTTTAGTAGAAGTTGCTAAGAGATTTTTCTAGGACTAAGTAAAGCATTCAAACCATAGAAGATTAGTTTAGAGTTGCTATAAGGGACTAATCTAAACACTACCGTCGGATGAACGGCCAACATCCAACCATAGGATGAATGTCCAACTAAAATGACATGCCTCTCCTTGCCATCTTTATCCCTATAGTGATGGATGACATCATGACAAGTGTTGTCTTAAATGTTCTGACAAAGGAATTAATGCACATCCATAGACCTCTATAAAGCTATAGTACATTGTAGTGATTCAAGATTGGCAAAAAAAGAGTTTGTCATGTGAAAAGTAACTTTCCAGAGATATAAATACACCCTTAACCACCACATTTCAAGTACATTTATTTCACCTTAATTTTCATAGTAAAATAGTCTATCTTATCTCAAGTACATTTATTCCACCTTAGTTTTCATAGTAAAATAGTCTATCTTCACTAAAATCTCCTATATACTAACTTGAGCGTCAAAATGTTTATCCCAGGATTCAACCTCAGGTCTTGTAGGTATTCTAGTAAGAATTGTCATCATAGCAACTATGTTGTGTCATTCTTCACCTAAACTATTACGTGCAATCACAGTTGCATATCTTGAATTTTGTACTGCTTTGAATATCTTAGATGCCAATCTACACTTTAGTATGTCTTTGGGTCCTTTGTCAAAAGGCTGGAAGATATGATTGGCAAGCACCATAGAGGAAAAGGTTTCCAGCATTAGTATCTTGGATTTTACGGGAAATCTAAGCAAGTATTTTTATGGCTCCACATGGATCTATGGGGCGTTATAGAGTGAAATTGTTGAACTCTATCTAAGGATCTGCTGGGTTCCAAAATAAGAGTATCTAATCATTGTGGTAAAAACTTGGTGTTTTCGGTTGCTAAGTGTTTCTAAAGCTACCCACTCGAGTGAAAGGACTATAATTGTTTTAGTTAGGATGCTGGCACTTGGTAATATCATCATCACTTTAGCTTTAGAGGTTGATTGAAGGGGTTTATAAGGAGTGGGTCATGGAAGCACTTTTTGAGCATTTCATAGACACTTTCAATCCATAAAGAAATTTTCATTTGACAAGTACATACAGAAGTAATGTTGGAGTGTTAAAATTTAAATTTCTTCAACTAAGCAAACTCATTCTTGGTTTATAATTTAGCCTAGAATTGCAATATCAAAAGTTGATAACAATTGTTACATTATTTTGAAATGCAGGGCAAAGAGAAAAAAAAATGAGGAGAGTTGAGAGATGACTTTTCCCATCCATACCTCAACAAGTTTTATAACTTTAAGCACAATAAGTTGAAATGTGATAATCTCATTCCTCTTTAATGTTCTGTCTCCATTGCTGCACACAAACCCTCAGTTGCCTTTGTTCTTCCTATACTACCGAGACGGTACCTACCATCTTTTTTGCATGTTGAGGTTAACCTCAACCTTCTTGATTTCTCCATAAGCTTTTGTTAAAATTTGCCACCAACACCCCCCCCCCCCCCCCCATCTCCATCCTTTATTTTTTCACTTCTCCGAGCATATGGCTCTTTGTTCCCTTTGGGCAGCCAAGACAAACTGGACCTAGTTTGATTGCTTTCAC